GAACAGAGAACAGAGAGAACAGAGAGAACAGAGAGAACAGAGAGAACAGAGAACAGAGAGAACAGAGAGAACAGAGAACAGAGAACAGAGAGAGAACAGAGAGAACAGAGAACAGAGAGAACAGAGAGAGAACAGAGAACAGAGAGAGAACAGAGAACAGAGAACAGAGAACAGAGAACAGAGAACAGAGAACAGAGAGAACAGAGAACAGAGAACAGAGAACAGAGAACAGAGAACAGAGAACAGAGAGAACAGAGAACAGAGAACAGAGAACAGAGAACAGAGAACAGAGAACAGAGAGAACAGAGAACAGAGAACAGAGAGAACAGAGAACAGAGAACAGAGAGAGAACAGAGAACAGAGAGAACAGAGAACAGAGAGAACAGAGAACAGAGAGAGAGAACAGAGAGAACAGAGAACAGAGAACAGAGAACAGAGAACAGAGAGAACAGAGAGAACAGAGAACAGAGAGAACAGAGAACAGAGAACAGAGAGAACAGAGAGAACAGAGAGAACAGAGAGAACAGAGAACAGAGAGAACAGAGAGAACAGAGAGAACAGAGAACAGAGAACAGAACAGAGAACAGAGAGAACAGAGAGAACAGAGAGAACAGAGAACAGAGAGAACAGAGAACAGAGAGAGAACAGAGAACAGAGAACAGAGAGAACAGAGAACAGAGAGAACAGAGAACAGAGAACAGAGAACAGAGAACAGAGAACAGAGAACAGAGAACAGAGAGAACAGAGAGAACAGAGAACAGAGAACAGAGAGAACAGAGAGAACAGACAGAGAACAGAGAGAACAGAGAACAGAGAACAGAGAACAGAGAGAGAACAGAGAGAACAGAGAACAGAGAGAACAGAGAACAGAGAACAGAGAACAGAGAACAGAGAACAGAGAACAGAGAACAGAGAACAGAGAACAGAACAGAGAACAGAGAGAACAGAGAACAGAGAACAGAGAACAGAGAACAGAGAGAACAGAGAACAGAGAACAGAGAGAGAACAGAGAACAGAGAGAACAGAGAACAGAGAACAGAGAACAGAGAGAACAGAGAGAACAGAGAGAACAGAGAACAGAGAGAGAACAGAGAGAACAGAGAGAACAGAGAACAGAGAGAACAGAGAACAGAGAGAACAGAGAGAACAGAGAACAGAGAACAGAGAGAACAGAGAACAGAGAACAGAGAGAACAGAGAACAGAGAACAGAGAACAGAGAGAACAGAGAGAACAGAGAACAGAGAGAACAGAGAACAGAGAGAACGACAGAGTAACATCAACAAAAATATATAAATATATATAAATATATATATTAATAATAATAATAATAATAATAAAGAGTAATTAAGTCGTTATTACGCGTTACCTTCCACCATAAACTTGCGCGCGAATCTTTTGAGGTTTTTCTTGCGCAGCGGCGGAACCGCGTCCGAGAAACTGCCCCGAGACACGAACGTGAAGATGTCCCCGAGTTTGTTCGGTCCGCACTCCACCACCTGCTCCTGCGCCACGGGGGGCAGCGAGTCCGACACCTGCTCCTGCGCCACGGGGGGCAGCGAGTCCGACACCTGCTCCTGCGCCACGGGGGGCAGCGAGTCCGACACCTCCAGCGAGTCCGCGCTCAGCATCCCTCCTCCCGCTGCTCCTCCCGCTGCTCCTCCCGCTGCTCCTCCCGCTGCTCCTCCCGCTGCTCCTCCCGCTGCTCCTCCCGCTGCTCCTCCGCTGCTCCTCCGCTGCTCCTGCTCCTCTTCCTCCCCCCGGGCTCTTCTGTTTGAATCAAAACTCGAGAGACACCAGCTCTCCAAAGCTTTTACGCAGCTCTCCAAAGCTTTTACGCAGCTCTCCAAAGCTTTTACGCAGCGCTTTTACGCACAACGCGCGTCAAACGTCTCCAAAGTGTCCAGTGCGCACAGGGAGCCGGAGTCCGCGCGGTTAAAGTGACTCTGTGAGACAAAAACATGTCCAGATGTCCCAGAGCAGGAGACAGGACAGAGGACAGGGACAAGTCCTCCGCCTCTGCGCGCTTCTTCGTGGGCTGCTGTGGTTTGGCGCGTGCGTGGCGCCCCCCTGCGGGCGGAGAAGAAAACTGCGACTGAACAGGAGCGCAGTGTCAGAGTGCGGCCGCTAGAGGGAGGCACTGCTCTGTCTGAGAGAGTCTACGTGATTTGAGTCCAGAGCGTGGATCTGTTAAAATAAGAGAACACGTGACTCTCGTGACTCTCTAAACCACTTCAGTATTTTAACATTTAATCTTTGTGCTTTGGTCACTTTTATTATTATTATTATTATTATTATTATTAAAGTGGCCATGTACAGATCACGTGATGTGACAAACAGGACGCACATGTCAGTGTGTGTTTTTAGAAACATTGGATCAGTAAAATTCTAAAAGTTTCATTCAAACAGGAAAAAGAATTTACGTTTGTAAATATAAAATTTGCCAAATATAATAATTAAGTTAATTTCCATTTATTTATTTGAGTCTAAATTCTTTTCATGTAAACCAAAAATAACATGTTTATATTTGAATGAAAAGTCAGATTTACTTTCATCTTCATAAAATTTTAAACAATATTTCCAAAAAGTTTTGATAAAAGTTCATTTCCAAAAAAAGAAGCCTGGTTGTTCGGGGAGATTCTTGACACAAAAGTGCAGCTGGAGTCAAATGTTTCTGATATTTTAGTGTAAATGTTTGTGTTTCATTTTATATTTATCGTAAATGTTTGATTGACAGTTCATCCTTTTCCAGCCGCACGTGCTCAGTCCGTTCACCCTCCGTGCGTGCTGACGTCACAGGTGTGCGTGTGCCCCTCCTCCTCAGTGTGTGCAGCAGGTGTGTGTGTGTGTGTTTCGCTCTTCGGTCTGAGCTCCGCTGATTCCCCCGCGCCGTTTCTCTCTCCTCTCCCCGCCTCCGGAGCGCCTCTGCCGGGGGCATGAGCGGCTCCTCCCCGCGGCTCCCGTTGCTCCTGCGGCTCTTGCGGCTCTTGCGGCTCTCGCCCCGCTGAGACCCTCGAGCCGCGGCCGGGATGAGCTCCGCTGCGCCCGGACTCACGGCGCTGCTGTGGGCGGCCCTGGCCACGCTGAGCTGCGCACTGACAGGTGAGAGACTGACAGGTGAGAGACTGACAGGTGAGAGACTGACAGGTGAGAGACTGACAGGTATTTTCCTGTTTTCACATTTTGTCCTGGACTAAACCAGGAATAAACCAGGACTAAACCAGGACTAAACCAGGACTAAACCAGGACTAAACCAGGACTAAACCAGGACTAAACCAGAACTAAACCAGGACTAAACCAGGACTGAACCAGGACTGAACCAGGACTGAACCAGGACTAAACCAGGACTGTCATCATTTTGGACTCATCTGATCCTGCGGTGACGATACAGAGGAACATAAATAATTGTTTGTTTTGCTAAAATACAGAAAACCGTGTTTTTTTGAACGACTATAAAACAAAAAACAAAAGCAGCGACAGAATCCGTCAGATCGAGACTGAACCCAGAATCACAAACTTTTCACTCTGTTCACTTTTTTATTTCTACCAAACATCCAAACTCCAGAGAGTTGAACCCAGTCTGGAATTTAGAAAATCTGTTCATTCTGTTTTAGGTTCAAGTTCCAATTTTCACCTTTATATTTATATTTTATTTTTATTTATATTTTTATATTTATTTTTTTGTGTTTATTGTTTTTTCATATTTGACCAGATATAAAAAGAAAAAATACATTTAAACTAAACCAGAACTAAACCAGAACTAAACCAGAACTAAACCAGGATTAAACCAGGACTAAACCAGGACTAAACCAGAACTAAACCAGGACTAAACCAGAACTAAACCAGAACTAAACCAGAACTAAACCAGGACTAAACCAGGACTAAACCAGACTAAACCAGAACTAAACGAGAACTAAACCAGGACTAAACCAGGATTAAACCAGGACTGGACCAGGACTGGACCAGGACTGGACCAGGACTGGAGCAGTGTTCCGGTTGAGTGTTGTTAAAAGTGCAGGTTGAGGGTTTGATTCCTGGTCTTTGAGGTTCTGCTGCTCGTCAGAGTCACGTTCTCGTCTTGAAACGTCACAGTTAAATTTAGACTTTGGAGGGTTTTGTTTTCCGTCTCTTTATCTCCGTCACGAGTTAAAATGAACTCAAACTCTGAGGGGTTTGTTCTTTCCGTCTCCTCCCTCCGTTTTCTTCTTTACCTCTATTTTGTTTTTGTTCTTTCTTTCTTTCCTCTCTTTTCTCTTTTCCTTCTCTCCTCGTGTCTCAATGATTAAAAACAGAAACACTTCAGACTCAAATCTCATCAACTCTGATGTGATCAGACCTGGTTTAGTCCGGGTTTAGTCCTGGTTTAGTCCTGGTTTAGTCCTGGTTTGGTCCTGGTTTGGTCCTGGTTTAGTCCTGGTTTAGTCCTGGTTTGGTCCTGGTTTAGTCCTGGTTTAGTCCTGGTTTTAGTCTGGTTTAGTCTGGTTTGGTCCTGGTTTAGTCCTTTAGTCCTGGTTTAGTCCTGGTTTGGTCCTGGTTTAGTCCTGGTTTGGTCCTGGTTTAGTCCTGGTTTAGTCCTGGTTTTGGTCCTGGTTTAGTCCTGGTTTGGTCCTGGTTTGGTCCTGGTTTAGTCCTGGTTTGGTCCTGGTTTGGTCCTGGTTTTAGTCCTGGTTTAGTCCTGGTTTAGTCCTGGTTTGGTCCTGGTTTAGTCCTGGTTTGGTCCTGGTTTAGTCCTGGTTTAGTCCTGGTTTGGTCCTGGTTTAGTCCTGGTTGGTTTGGTCCTGGTTTGGTCCTGGTTTAGTCCTGGTTTGGTC